CTACCATCTGGCAACACATTAGTCCAACAGTATGCCAGAGTGGGATGCAAGGGATGGGAAGGCAGGGTTTTCTGCTCTGTATGGGCAGCTTAAGCTGACGAATGTAAGAGAAAGCCCGAGGGAGTATAGGATGTGAGTAGGCGTGCCCGGCTTTTGATTAAAGAACATGAAATACATTTTCTTTTATGAATATCATATTGAAGGAAATGATAAAGGGTCCTACCAAATTGTATCAAAACTATGACTTGGTTTAATTTAGACTCAACCAGATTTTCTTATAAGCCTTAGATCCCAAGGCTTCCACTCTTGAGATATTGTTTACATCAAAATTATTTTTTTTTAGTTTGTTTGAAAGACATTGCTTAGACTTTAACAATTCAATATGTAAGAAAATATCCTGAGATTCAGAACTTTAAAATGCAGTTTCAATTTACCATTACTTGACTGGGTTACTTTAATGAAATTGTGTCTCGTAAAACTGGCACATTTCATGTTTCAAAATTTTGCAGTTACCTCAATGTCCTAGAGCAGTTTGGCATTGGTTTTTGGAGTCTTATGACTTTAATAACAAAAACAGAGAAAATCATGGTAGTGTCCCTTCTAAGATTAACTAAAAAATATTGTGATGATCTGTAGTGCAACGTTGAGTAAAGGTGAAGATGACCTGCCATTTGAATCTTTAAGATTAACAATAGTAATCACAGAGCACCAGTCAATACTATTACAGCTGCTTTTTAAAAATTGATTTCAGAGAGGAAAGGAGGGGGAAAGAGAAACATCAATGATGAGAGAGAATCATTGATCAGCCGCCTCCTGCATTTCCCACACTGGAGTTCGAGCCCACAACCCAGGCATGTGCCTTTGACCAGAGTTGAACCCAGGACCCTTCAGTCCTCAGGCTGACACTCTATCAGATAGATAGAGTCTATCCACTGAGCCAAACCAGTTAGGGTTACAGATACTTTTTAAAATGCATTTTTATTTTCCTTAAATGATTGGGCAGGAAGTACCAAGATCTTATTTCAGGCCTTATTTCAGGTTCACTCTGAAGGTTTAGATGAGGAAGGGCTATATGTGATGGAAGTTGGTTTTATTTTTGTAGTTGCTGCTAAGTAAAAATGGAGTATGCAGAAAACAAGTTGGCGGGTCTTCAATAGGTTACACATAGAATTGCTATGTGACCCAGCAATTCGACTCCTGCATATATGTTGAAAACAGATATTTAAACAAAAATTTGTACATGAATGTTCAGAGCAGCACTATTCATAATAGCCAAAATGTGGAAATAACCCATATGTCCATTTGCTTACATGAATGGATAAGCAAAGTGTGGTACGTTCATACAATGGAATATTATTCAGCCATAAGAGGAATGAAGTACTGACACATGCTACAACATGGATGAACATCAAAACACTATTCTAAGTAAGAAAAGTCAAACAGGAAAGACCATACTGTATGATTCCATTTAGTGGTTGCCAGGTGGGCAGAGAACTATCGGCGAGGAGGCAAATGGAGTGACATCTTTGGGGTGATGAAATGTTTTGGAAGTAGATAGAGGTGGTGATTGTGCAACATTGTGAGTGTACTAAATGTCACTAATGGTAAATTTTATATTATGTGTATTTTACCACAACAAAAAAAATGGAGTGTGCACCTTTTGATAAGGTTCCTATTTTGTGGTGAGGCCCATTAAAGATTGACAGGGTGGGGTGAATCCTAAAGAAGGAGTAGTGGCAAACTCAGGGGGCGTGGTGGCAGCCTCTTGAGTCCTGCAAAACAAGACTTGTACTTTCTGATTGGGATCGCTGGTTCAGTGACCTGCCACGTGACTAAGAACACTTTTAAGTCTGGGAGAGCTTGTTTGAAATTCTCACATAAAACCATGGAAAGGCATGGAATACTGAGCCATTTAAAACCTAAGCATACAGAAACCCAGCAGATATAAATTTTAACTGCAGTAAAGCCAGGATAATTTCAGTTTATCCAATGAAAAGAAAAATAAGCTTTTACAGCCTGGTGGTGCTAGAATAAGTTTAGTTAAAGGTGTGTGGAAAGTTTCTTGTTATCGCCGCATATATCTTCTCCCTGGTCCTTGGGTGTGTGCCACTTCTTCACACCAGTTTCTACCCTCAAAAGGAAAAAGCTTTCAAGTGTTTTTTCTCTGATCATGAAAGTAGTATTTGTTTATTATAAAAATTCAGAAAAAGTGTACTATATCTATTGATATCCCTATCTCTATCTATCTATCTATCTATCTAATCATCTATCCATCCATCTATCTACCAGCAATCAGCAATAATGCTGTAGATGTCATGGCATGTATCCTTCCAGTCTTTTCTTCTATGAATATATATGTACCACTATCTTCAGTTTCATTGGGATCATACTACATTTATCAACATAGCATGGGCATCTTTCATACCAGTAAATACCAATAAACAACACACTTTTCATGGTTGCATAGTGTTTATTTTATGTACATGTCATGACTGATTATTCCATGACCAATGTTCTAAGTGAGCCAGGGGATTTCCTGGGAGTGGTTATTTCGTGGTCACTTAACAGTCAGTCAGAGATGGTTGGTGACTCAGGGTTTCTGAAATTTTCCTTTATTTATGCTGGTCAGTTATAGCCCTCAAAGCGGAGATCATGCATGGTAAAGGGAATACAGGTCTGGAAAAATTATCTCCAAACCCACTGCCTTAAGAAGCTTTCCCTGACTGAGCCCTATTCCATCTGGTCGTTTTGTCTTCTGTGTCCCAACAGAAGGGGACATAGTATGCAGGAGCATGGGCTTTGGAGCCAGATGGTAAGGGTTCGCATTCTGGCTTTTGCAACATTGGGCATAAAACTTAACATTTCTGTGCCTCAATGTTCTCATCTGTAAAATGAAGATAATAGTAGTACCTACCTTCTAGTCCAGATGAGATGACCCATGTCAAAAGTACTTGGTAGCACAGGACCTGAATGAGTGAATGGCAAGATTTCTTACTATTACTCAGTTCTTCAACTGGCCCTCCCAGTTGTGGTTGTGAGAGCTCATCTGTATGTTTTGGAAGCCCTATTTGATTATAGACTCTGAAAATTTCAGATGCCAAAGTAACTTTACAATATTTTATACACAGTGAGCCCCTAGCCAAGATTGCTTGTTGATTGACCTAACCAGTGGTCGACAAACTCATTAGTCAACAGAGTCAAATATCAACAGTAAAATGATTGAAATTTCTTTTTAGAGTCAAATTTTTAAAACTTAAACTATATAGGTAGGTACGTTGTTATTAACTTAATTAGGGTACTCCTAAGGCTTAGGAAGAGCCACACTCAAGGGGCCAAATAGCTGCATGTGGCTCGCGAGCCGCAGTTTGCCGACCACTGACCTAAACTAACTTGCTGCAGTTGTGAAGCCTTCTTGATTGAATTTGGCCTTATATTTTATTTGACAAAAGGAAACCCCCAGAAACCCTGAGAGGTGGATGTAGGTGAAATGCAGTTCCTTGAGATAGGTGAACATCATAACTGTGGACTTCCTACACTCTAAGGAAATTCTTGACCAGGAGAATCCAGAATCCTATCTAATAATAGACAAACAGGGTAATTGACCGTATCTTCGCTATTCCTCCCATTGGCTAATCAGCTCGATATGCAAATTAACTGCCAACAAAGATTGTGGTTAATTTGCATACGTAGGCTCCAAGTGGCGGAGCGAAGACTGAAGGCGAGCCGGAGCCGCGAAGACGGAAGACGGAAGGTGGCTCTGGCCGGGGTTAAGGCCTGGGTCCCGGGTGCCGGAGGAAAACCGGTGCCGGCAGCCAGGAGAAGGGAAGGTCTATTGCACGAATCTCTTCATGCAACAGGCCTCTAGTTCTTAAATAATAGTGATAATGACAAGAAATACATAAAAGAACTGAAAGCCATTATTCTGAAAGACCAGTCTACAGCAGAAGAGCATATAAAATCTTCTATTCCTTCATTTTTTCGGTATTCTAGGGAACTGAATTATTTCCGGCAAGTAAATTTTCTAGATGATGAAAGTTTATTCATTGAACTGCCATAACAGTTGCATTTTAACAATTTTGATGTAACTCTTTCTAATGCATTCTGCATGGTTTATAGGTTTCATATAGAGAAAAACAATTCAGCCTATTTGTCAGGCTTTGAATCTGCATCATTATTATGTTGTTGCATTTTTTTAAGCTCTGCCCAATAATCTCAATGCCATTTGCCTTCTAAAGACTCAGACAACTGTACCCTTACACAGCTCTTTTCATTTTTAAAAAAAATTATATTTTTATTGATTTCAGAGAAGAAGGGAGAGGGAGAGACAGAAACATCAATCATGAGAGAGAATCATTGATCGGCTGCCTCCTGCACACCCCCCCCTGGGATTGAGCCACAACCCGGGCATGTGCCCTGACCGGGAATTGAACCCTGACCTCCTGGTTCATAGGTCAACACTCAACCACTGAGCCATGCCGGCTGGGTTCTTTTCACTTTTTTTCTTTCATTTTTTTTTCTCACTGGCAGGGTGTGTCAGTTTTTACTTTTTACTACAGAAATGTGCTTAAGCTTTCCCCCATCTCCAAAACATCTTTTTCATTTACTGATTTATACATTTAATACCCTGGGAACCCAAAATTCCAAGTCTGTTACTATTTTGTATAAAGTAAGATTAATAGGCATTTTAATGAAATCATGCATTTAGTGACCATTCAAGGACTTTAAAATTTTACTTCCTGGTTGTAGGCTATTATCAGGTAGAAGTTTGACTCTGGGAAAAATACCATTTTATTAAATCTATAGTGCTTACGGTTTTCTATTCTAGCACTGGTACCTTCTTGCCATTCATAAGTAGAGAAATTAAATTAAAGAAACATAATCCCCTGTCCTCTATGCAGTTGGTAAAAGTTTGTGAAATGAAATTTGGGTATTTTTAATAGAAAGTGAAGGAAAATATTCTTAGATATAACTTCATGAGTGTTTTTCCATTTTCTTTACAGAAACATACTGATGGATATAACTGTTGGGAGACTCAAAGAGCAAGAATTTATAACCATTGTACGTCACTATGGAGTGCCTGAAAAACCGTGTCCCAATGGAACTACCCTACTTTCAATGGCTCATGAACAGTTCAGGAAAATTTTTTTTGAGGATTTTGACAAACTCATTAATTACTGTCAATACGTAGATCAAGAAAAGTAAGCTTTTATTGATTCTAATAAGTAATGTAAGTTTCTGTGAACCTGACGACTGAAGAAATTTATATTTTATCAAATTGGGGAAAAAGAAAATTGACATCTCATCATATTCTACTGTTCAGCAAAGCCACCTTAAATCATTTTGGGAGAGTATCTGGGTGAAAATATTTTATAGTGATACTTCAAAAGAATAGGATGCTCCTTTGCATTTCCTTTTAATTGGTTTCTAGAAGCTTTCAACTGAAATGTAGCAAATTAAGATGTTAGAAGGTTTAATCCTGAGATTTCTTCTTACGTTATTTTAGTGATAACTGGGATTTATAAACGAGACTTTTGTAATATACAGAATAGGGAACTTGCAAGTCAACTTTTTTTTTTTAAATATATTTTATTGATTTTTTACAGAGAGGAAGGGAGAGAGATAGAGAGTTAGAAACATCGATGAGAGAGAACATCGATCAGCTGCCTCCTGCACATCTCCTACTGGGGATGTGCCCGCAACCCAGGTACATGCCCTTGACCGGAATCGAACCTGGGACCTTTCAGTCCGCAGGCCGACGCTCTATCCACTGAGCTAAACCAGTTTCGGCGCAAGTTAACTTTTAAAAGAATTTCTTTGAAATTATTTTTTTCTTGAAAACAATGAAGTTCAGCATAATCTATTTCTAGTACATTTATCATGTTTGTATCAAGCTTTATTAAGTCATTGTTATTAACAACTGGAGCCCCACCTAAATATGTTTTGGTATTCATCTTACCCACAGACCTGATAGAGAGTGTGTGTGGGTATTTATCTGGAGTTAGAAAATCTTAGTTCTAACTCTAGCTTCTAATTTTGTTACTACACACCCCTGCAATCACTCTTCCTAATGACCCCTTCCCTCAGCCCCCAGCCCTGAAGTCTGCACCCAAGCAGCCAGCTGCACACCCTATATCTTTGAAGATCCTAAAGTTCATCTTAATAATGAACATGATTTCTTCCTAATCCATAATATATCCTCATTGATTTTTTATAAAAATTGTATTTTTCCTTGAATTGTAAGTTTCCTTGAGCCTCTCAGAGGATGTGTGGCCCGAGCTTTGCATAACTCTGGCCCTGCCTTCCACCTCGGTGCTACTCCTTCCCCAGGGTGAAAAGTGTGGCCCTCCTTCAGAATAATGGAGCTGCTTGGTTAGACATCTTTGAGATTTTTTCAGGTCTAACAAGCTTTGATTCTAGACATAACTTTTGTCATAATTTTGCCTGTTGCCTGGAAGAACATTGGCTGAGTGAGAACATTCGACAAGGATTTCTGTGTCCCCAGCAGGCTGGGGAAAATTACTGTTGGGCTGCTCTGGAGAAAATATGTGACCAAATTGAGGTGAATGTTCAGGCCCCTGCTGGGGCTCCAGGTTGTAAGGTGTGGGTCCAAGGAAAAGAGTAGGAAAACACCCTCCACTTGTGTTGGAGGCTCTAGATACCTGTCAAATTAAGAGATGTTTTCAAATATCAGGACCATTTTTGACTGGTGGTCAAGAATGCAGATCGATTATTTAGAGCAACACTCGTGGCTGCAGCTTTAATAGGCTACTATCACCAATCAAGAATCTGAATCTTGATGGAAAGACGTTTGTAAGGACAGAATCTGATGAGTTCTAAAATGGAAAAAGTTGATGAAATGCAATATGACTGTTTTTCCTTACTGTGAATTCCAATATAAATTTTCATACTTCTTTCCATGTGTACATTTTTAGAATACAATGTATTTTTTTCCTATAGCATGCAACTGTTACTTGAAAGACCCAAAGTATATATAAGCTCATTTATTTTGTTTTAATCTAGTAAAGAGAAATTGCCCAACAAATTCATCGAAAGGCTGTGCAAGTCCGCCAGGTTGCCTTTGAGTAATGAACTTATACACTCCTTAGTGTCCAAGTAAGTGAGATCTGCATCCTTCATGGGAATTATACTTCATGCTTTTCTTTAGGGGACTATTCCTGGTTTTCCATTTACCTTTCATTACCTTTGATTTACCCTTGACTATTTTGATTATATTATTGATGACACACCTCCATTTTAACTACTACAAAAGGAAAAGTTAATTATGATTTAAATGTTAGCCTATTATGAATTACTAAAGGCCTGGTGCATGGGATTCATGCACTGGTGGGGGGAGTGGCCTGAGGGGATCAGCCCGAAGCAGGAGTAGCTGCTCATCTCGGTCAGCAGGTCAGCTGAGTGGCTGTGGACCCGCCCTCTGAGCAGCTGCTCCCACTGTGGAAGTGCACTGACCACCAGGGGGCAGCTCCTGCATTGAGGGTCTGCCCCCTGGTGGTCAGTGCACGTCATAGCAACTGGTCGACTGGTTGTTCTGGTTGTTCTGCCATTCGGTCGCTGGGCTTTTATTATATAGGATTATTTTATCTTCTTACCATTAAGACACACTTGCGTATACATAGGTTGTGGGGCAAAATGAAAATGCACAACTTCATTCGTTATGAGGGTATTAGATGTAAAATTCAGGGCATATTTTTCAAAGCAGTAGTTCTTGATGGCTAAAGACATGCCATAAGAGGACATGGTGTTATTAGCACAAGGCTCTTCTTGCTAGAGCACCAGATGTAAAGCATAGAGACTCTAATGTCACAAAAGAAAAGCATGGTGAACTGCTTTATAAAACAAATCATTTATCCTGTTAAACCTAACTTTTGACTTCCTGGCACCACCTTGAAACCACCTAGACTCTGGTCATCTTTTATGCTTCCTATGGCTTGACTCCAGCCCCTCCTCTGATGTACTTATCTTGATAACAATGACATTTTGGTTGCATGCTAGGTATTGCTATCATTGCTTTGAATGTATTATCTCATTTCCTTTGCAAAAACAATTTGATGAGATCAGAACTATTATCCTCCTATATTACATGAAGATGCTGAGGTTTAGAGAGATGATTTTGCCCAGAGTAACATAGTTTAGAACAGTGATGGCGAACCTTTTGAGCTCGGCGTGTCAGCATTTTGAAAAACCCTAACTTAACTCTGGTGCCGTGTCACATATAGAAAGTTTTTGATATTTGCAACCATAGTAAAACAAAGACTTATATTTTTGATATTTATTTTATATATTTAAATGCCATTTAACAAAGAAAAATCAACCAAAAAATGAGTTCGCGTGTCACCTCTGACACGCGTGTCATAGGTTCGCCATCACTGGTCTAGAATAAGATCTGTGACTTAACTCCTGGACCTTTCAAATGCATACCCCCTGCTTCTAACCATTTTGAATTATTGTCTAAATAGCCAGTAGATTAGAATATATTGACAGTTCTATCTCCTTCCTGCTGCTTCTCACTCTCTCATCTCCATTCCCACTATTTTCACTCTTGTTCGGACCCACATTTCTTCTTGACTTTTTCAGGGTTTCCACATTGTTCTTTCTTCCACTAATCTCTTAATTTTATTTATTTATTTATTATTTTTTTATTGATTAAGTTATTACATATGTGTCCTTATCCCCATGTTACCCCCTATCCCCCCCCACTCATGTTCTCACCCCTCCTCCCCCATTGTCTGTGTCCATTGGTTAGGCTTATATGCTTGCATATAAGTCCTTTGGTTGACCTTAATTTTAAAATCTGTCTTTACATACAGCAGCTAAGTACGTTAGAGTAAAAATATCATAATGCAATTCTTCTACTCACAAACTTTCTGTACCATCTCAAAGAAAGACCGAAGTCCTTAGCTTTGAATTCTTTTTCTCCATCATGGAGCTTAGTTAGGGTTGTCATTTGGAGCATTGTTCTCAAGCAGGGTCCGGAGTAGGGAGTCCTCATCTGAGACAAAAGGAGAAATGGAAAGAACAGATAAAATTTAATCCCATGTGGGAGAACTAGGATCCAAGGTATCAGGAGGGGGATCAAGAAGAGGGCCAGCCCTGACCGGTGTTGGGGCATCGTCTCATACACTGCAAGGTGGCAGGTTCGATTACCAGTCAAGGCACATGCCCACAATGCAGTTTGATCCCTGGTCAGGATGCATATGGAAGGCAACAGATCGATGTTTCTTTCTCATATTAATGCCTCCCATCTCCCCCTCACTTATTCTCTCCAAAATCAATTAAAGAAACATATTTTTGGGTGAGGATTAAAAAAAAATAAAAGGGCCAATCCACTTGGGTGTGGGTGTGCATTAGATTGCTATGGGGTTGTTTTGTACATCTGCTCTATCTGCTTATACTTGCTAGCAGCAGGGTGAAGGATAACTAGGTCATCCTGGTGTAAAAGACCTGAGATGAGGTAAGCAGACCTAGGAGTCAGGGTTCTTCACAGTTAACACATTCCCAAAACTCCCCTTCCCATTCCCACTGGTCAAGCCAAATGGGCCAGTTAGCATTTCACATGGATACCTCCTGCCTTCCCACTTTTATTTGCCTTTTTTTCTTACTATTTTTTTCAGTATAGAGTAACTTCCTTTTTTTTTTCACTTGCTGAAAGCATGCTTTTCCTTTAAAACTCTTTTCAAGTAGTACCACCTCCATGAAGCCCTCCCAGATTGCTTGGCTGACAGTGATTATCTCCTCCTAAGGCAGCGGTTCTCAACCTGTGGGTCGCGACCCCTTTGGCGGTCGAACGACCCTTTCACAGGGGTCGCCTAAGACCATCCTGCATATCAGATACTTACATGACGATTCATAACAGTAGCAACATGACAGTTATGAAGTAGCAATGAAAATAATTTTATGGTTGGGTCACAACATGAGGGATTATATTTAAAGGGCCAGAAGGTTGAGAACCACTGTTCTAAGGATTCTCACAACACTATTTATGTTTCTCTTTTTGGCCCTCACCTTGTAATGAAAATTTGTGACTGCTGTTTGATCTATTCAGATGCAGACCTACTTCTAACCTGTTTGATTTACCACCTATAAGCAAACAGTGTGTTGTTGCATGCACCTCATATTCCTTACCGCTAGAATGAGATAACAATACCTATTTCCCAGCGGTTCTGAGTATGAATTGAGATAACATAAAGTACTACCCCTGAGTCCAAGTATTGATTGGGAACTAGGAGAGTAGTTTCAGTTGGAATCCATAGACCACACACTCTGACTTAGAAATGAACTGGAAGAAACCTATGTACTTTTACATAGAGGAAGTCTTGTTTTTAACAGTTGGATATGAATGCCTTTCACATTTCAAGCTATTTTGTAGTCAGGCAACTGTGGATGTTTATTAGAATTTCTCTTGATGGTCTCAAGGATGAGGTATCCTGGGAAGTCCAGAATGTGGGAGCCTGACCTCTGGAGGACCTACATGTTTCTTATCCAATACTGGGGCCACCAAGTCATCATCCTCTCATTCTCTCAGCAGACTGTTTTGTCTTTGCCTTTACAATTTGACACTAAAGGCAGGGAGACTATTCCACAACTCACTTCGAGGTCCTCCCAGTCTCAGAACACATCTGCCTCTGAGGCCAGCTTTGCTTCAAGGAGGTCATCCCTTGGAGCCACTAAGCCAACCATGTTCAGTCTAACTTCGCCTCTAATTGTGCAGTGACCCTTCTTGACACTCAGGAGAAACTTCAGACTAATCAGATTAGAAAATGTCTCATTCTCATTCCCCTCTCCCTCCAATATGCCCTGCCATGATTTGGGTCACATGCTTGGTGTTTTGCATCATCTCCACAGATTCCTTTCAAAGGCTGCCCTAATTCCTAACGGGCCCATCAGCCTTCAGCCTACATTTATATTCTGCATTCTTATTGTTCCCCATAGACTCCACAGGGCTTTCCAGAGCCTTGACCAGACTCTCCTTCTGCACAGCCCTCCTGTGGCACGCTAGCCAGAGCCCCTCTGACGTCTACAGTCTCCCGTGGGAGGCAGCAGTGGAGTTTGTTGATTTGTTTCAATGCACACTCTGTCCAGGGGCAGTTTTACCTGTCTTGAGATAGAACTGGGCAGCTGTTGAACAGCTGTATAGCCCTGAATTTATATCAGGAGACCAAAAAACAATATGGCTAATGGTTTGGATGTTTCTTTCACTCAGTGATCATTACCCATGTGTTTCTCCTGACCCTGTGTTTTGGTACTAAGATTATCCTCTACTCTATTTCCATTTTTCTTGTTCTTTATTGGGTATTTTCCTTATTAGCAAAACTCAAGCGGGAATCAGGACTTCAAAATATTTCCACATTCGGATACCCCAGCCCCCATCAGTTTGTGCTGTGGTAGGTGATATGAGGTCACCTTACTTACCAAATGAAGTCATTTTACTAATGCACAGAGCATCAGACTTAAATATCTATGTAGTGGTACCTATTACCCATTAATAACAGGAGTAGCACTCTGTATTGACATAGTGCCAAGAGCCCTAGAATATTTTGTAAATCCTTGAGCATATTAAGAGGAGCATTTTAGTTGATGGCAGGTATGATTCCTCATTTCACAAATGGAAATATTGAGGTATAAGGAGGCTCTCTCAATGAAAGAGCATGCTTCAGGTTAAGATGAATCTCTAATGGAATAACAACTCCCTAAGATACCCAAATCTTTGTTCCTATCTGAGCTCCTAGGGATAAGGACTATGTCCCGTTCATCTTAGCATCCTCAGGAACTTGTCCTATGCCAGTATGTTGGGCAGGGGGCAAAAACAGCTTCATTTCTACCAGACCTGAATCTGAAGTACAACTGTACTGCCTCCTTCCCATGTGAACTTCATAAATTGAGTCAACCCCTCTGAGCCTTCATTTGTATATTAATATTTCCTCAGTACTAACAAGAAATTCTGGTTCTCAAACCATAACAAGTAGCGAGTATTCTGAGGTCATTCAATTCTGTCTTCCTTGTGGGACTAGGGAGTAAAGAGGTAGCCTCCTTCCCTAATTGTGTATCAAGACTTGGAATAGTTGGAAATTCAAGTGCAGCTCTTTCCCCAGCAACTCTGCCCCAAGCTAGTCTTTTACAGCTGGCTTTGGGCTCCATGGAATGCCTTCGAATTGGCCTCCCAAGAGAGCTGCTGCCTCATCCAGAAATATCATTTAAAATGGAAAAAGTTAACAGGGCTTTAAAATTATCTCATTATACTCTACCCAGCCTCACCCTCTGCCCCCTTCCAGAGGCATGGTTTAGGCTCAAGTGATTTCACCAACAATACCTGGCAGGAAAGCTGAGGGGCAAGGGTTGAGCCATGTAGCAGCTATTGTTGCAGTGTTTGGTACACTGGGAAATTTTCACAGAGAAGGCTCTCTCTCTCTCTCTCTCTCTCTCTCTCTCTCTCTCTCTCTCTCCCTTCCTCCCTCCCTCCCACATCTCTCCCTCCCACATCCCTCCCTCCATTCCTCCCTCTCATGCTTTCTATCTTTTCAAATATAAGGTGATTTGTACTTTAAGGAATTTTTAAATATTCAAAACCGTGTGGACCAACAGAACATTGATCGTGTGTACAGTCTGTACTTGGCAGCTGTGACCTGCCTCACTGAGGTGATCTGTGCTGGGATCACAATTGAAATTTAGAGGCCTGGCTATTTGAGACAACCAGAGTTACTCATTGACAACTTGGGCAATGCCAGTTTTTCAACTCTACATGTTTGTTGGCACAGTAGCCCAGAGCTCCAATTTTCTTTTCAAGTTTCAGGTTTTTAAGAATCTCACCAGGTGCTTCAGTGAGCACCTCTGGGTTTTCTGGATAATGAACGGAAACCAAACACAATTAAGTGAGTTTAAAGTGTGTCTTCATTGCCCTCCTTCTTTCCCTAGTCATGCAGCTAGCCCATTCCTGTAAGTCCTATGATGGTCTTTGCAGCAGAGGGGAACCCATATTAGTCTTCAGCAAAATACCACTACTGCTGTACGTTTTCTCTTCACAGATGGTGGAAATCAAGCAGGTCAACATTATTCCCCATGACAAGTAGATGGATGGATTCTATAGTTTTCAAGCCATTCATCATGTTTGGGAGGGGGAGCAAGAACAGCCATCAAATGACACATTAGAGTCACTTCTAAGAACTCCCACCTAGTGAGGCATTGGGAATCATGCTTGGGGTCATTATTTTCCAGATAAATTGCCTCCTCTCCCTCTTCTTCCACAAACGTGTCCCTTAGTTTGTTCAGGGAAGGAAGTGGTGGCTTGCTCAAGTATCAAAGGGAAAGAAGAATTTATGGAGATTTTAGGAAAACACTTTAGTTCTGTGAACTGGGAATTTAAAGTCTGGAGTCTGACTTTTAACAAGCATAAGAACACGTAAAAACAAGAGTTAGTGCTGCCCTTCAGGGCAGTTACCCTGGAACTCTGTGCACTGATTTCAACAATGTTGTCATAGAAAGTTCTTCTTTGAAATTGTTTTTTCCAAAGAATTTCCTCTAGAGTGGCAAATCATTATCCTTTGACCATGGGTGAGTCTTAGCAAGAGCCAAATATTTGAAAAGGAACAAAGTAGGGGACTCAGGTGGAGAATCAGGATCTTAACATTTGTGGTCAGAAGTATAGCATGTACTAGTATACAATTCATAATTTGAAAGGATGGGTAGGATTTGGCGAATGATGGCCTGTAGTCACAAGGCAGGGAGGATTCCATGATGGGTGACTAGAGAGATAATACTCAGGGTTGGATGTAGGCACTGACCTAGTTGTTCTCACTCTCCTAATAGTCAAGCCTTTCTCCATCTCTGAACTGCTTCACCTCGTCTCCTTCTCCTCCATCCTGAACTATTTTTATAGCTGGAGCTTCCCTTTGTAGCCTAGTCTTCCTTCTCACACAGTGTCATCTAATAATCTACACTAATAAAAGAGAAACATGCAAATTGGTGTCCCTCCAGTACCCCCACCAGCCAATCAGAGCGACTATGCAAATTAACCCAACAAAGATGGCGGTTAATTTGCATATGCAGGCGCGGAGCAAAGACAGAAGGCTCAGGCCAAAGTGAAGACTGAAGACTGAAGAGGCTTGGCTTCTCCGCTGCAGCTGCAGCGGAAAAGCCAAACCTCATTGCAGCCAAGGGGAGAAGCCAAGCTTTGCTGCGGCTGGAGGGGAAAAGCCTAGCCTCGAGGCTTGGCTTCTCCGCTGCGGCCAGACCAAAGGCCTGGGTCCCGGATGCCAGAGGAAAACCGGTGCCAGCAGCCAGAGGAAGGAAGGCCTATTGCGTGAATCTTCGTGCAATGGGCTTCTAGTAACATATATTAGACATAGAATCTATCCTATATAATAAAAGGCTAATATGCAAATAGACCGAACGGCAGAATGACCAGTTGCTATGACATGCATTGACCACCAGGGGGCAGACGCTCAACCCAGGAACTGCCCCTTGGTGGTCAGTGTACTCCCACAGGGGAAGTGCAGCTCAGCCAGAAGTTGGGCTCAGGCTGACGAGTGCAGTGGCGGTGGCAGGGAGCAGGCCTAAGTCATCAGTCAGATATCCCCTGAGGGCTCCTGGGCTGCAAGAGGATGCAGGCTGGTCTGAGGGACCCCCCCGAGTGCATGAATTTTGTGCACCAGGCCTCTAATATATATATATATAGTGTCCCAAAATTCACGCAATAAGTAATTTTGATAGAAAACACAGGTTTATAATTAAAAATTGTAATTTTTTTTATTGACTCA